ACAGGGCACTTTACTAGGTAGTGTATATATGTAAATACATACATATACAAATGCCTGTGCCTCTTAAGAACAACATGGCCTCTGGCAGCAGCGTGTGCTGCTGGAAGCAGTGCACTTGGCTAGTAAAGAGACATATCAGAAGTACGGAGTTTGTGCAGATCCTCTTTCCAGCCCCAGTGTAACTGAGTATTTGCAAGGTAGTTTTGGTTGTGGGGAGGGAAAGGGATTTTTTCCACCCACTATCAGGCACCTGCCTTGTAATATAGGAAAGAAAAAAATTGGTTCATTATAGAGAAGTGAAATGTCTCATTATTTCCTCACAGTACTCGATGCCGTAGGAGCTCACTGTCACCACTTTCTGCAGTTTATTTCCCCTTTTTCTTTGCACACTCTGAAAACAAGAAGAGAAATGTACTAGACATGGACGCTTCCTTCTTTCCTGTCCTCCACTGTAAAAAAATGAAAAGAATTTCCTGGAAGGAATGTGCTATATTATGTGAATACAAAAGACAGAAATGTTGGGGTTTTGGGGGGGTTTTGTTTGTTTGGGTTTTTTTAATTTTTTTTTAAAGAAGGCTAGTTTCCTATTGGTTAGTATATTACTGGATCTAGTAAAAATAGGATAATTTTATCATGGAATTTAATCGTGAACATTGTATTTTAAAACTAACATTATTAGCCCACTAGCCAGTGAAACGGTGGTAATTAGAAACAGGGCTGGAGACAGTCACCAGTATGGTAACTCTGTTAAATGTGAAGGATTTTTCAAGTTCAGGTAAAATGGGATTTCAGTGCTTGACTGTCCCAGCAACAAATAGCAGAGATATGCCAAACATATTATAATTCCTACCTTGCCATTGGCTGCAGTTTTTTTTTTGTTGTCCCTTCTCATTCACGTGGGTTTTTTTCTTAACTTAAGTGAGTATCTTCTAGGAAATGGCAGCATGCGTCTCATTGAATTGTTGACAGCTGCACTTTAAAATACATTTTTTATAAGAGAAGCATTAGAGTGTGCCAGTTGACAATCACAGAATTCAAGAGAAAAACTTTCAAAACACTGACGTAGCAGTCTTCCAGACCAAGCTGTCCTGGAAATCATAAATGAGCGGTACGTAGGTGAACCAGGGGGTGAAATGTAAAGGTAATCTCTTGGCTAAACTGCAACATTTGCTTAAATTGGGCTACAAAATACAATCTTACAGATGGATATTTCTCTTCACAAGCTTACCTTGACACAAAATGGTGTAACACCAGAACTATGGTCCTAATATTAGAAGTCAATTAAAAGATTTCTACTTGTTTCCAACAGTCAGGACCCCATGTAGGGGTGGGAAAGGTAAAATCAGTGGCAGGGTAGGTAAAGCTAGGTCTAAGGAAAGCTAGATATGGAGAGGTTGAGAAAATGGCCAACTCTCCTGGCTTTTCCCTCCTGCCTGGGGCAGCCCCAGAGCTCACTTGTGGATCAGATATCTCCAGCACCTCCAGAAGCCACAGGCCACCTGAGCTGGCTTGCAGGGACAGTGGCAGGGCTGTGAGGTGGGAATCCCCCTAGGCAAGCCCCTGAAGGACACCTCTCTCGCTCCTCTCTCGGCAGTGCCAGCTTCTCCATGCTCAGTGATCAGGTCAGCCCTCTGATCCAGTGACTGAAAACTGGTCCCAGGGAAGAAACGCTGGTGGGGAAACACCCAGGAGGAGAGACAGAAACCTGCAGCAAGGGGTGAGAAAGGGATCACCCCTTTCCGTGCCAGTGGGGAGTCAGAGCAGCGTAAACCAATGGCGAAACCACCTCCTTTGGGACCTGGAATGAAACTGCTCTTAAATTGCTATTCTGGTCTTTACAGTACTAAAAATCTTGTCATGAAAGTTGCATTAATTTTGAGCCTGGAAATGAAACAAACACTGTGACCCAGATATTCAGTGGAAAAATGAATTACTCATTTGTTTTCTTCTCTTTTGGAGACTTTCATCTTTGGCTGCTTTCAGCCAGCTATCATTGTGTGATGTTGGATATTTCTGAGCTCTGATTTAACTCACACTATGTGATGGTTTACAGTGATGCATTTTGGGATGATACTGGAAAATAATAGCGGAAATAAAAGTGATGTTTTTCTTCGAAACTCTAAATACTTCCGTAAAAGTGAAAATTACTTCATGCCCAATGTACCTTCTGCCTCTCCATGGTAAGATCAAAGAAGCTCTCTGGTATGGATACCGGACTGAATATGTATTTTAGCTGTGGAGAACCACTTGAAAGCTTTCTAGGTGAGTAGTACTGCTATGGTGGAGTTCTTGCGAATGAAGAGAGAATATCTACTTCAGAAACCACATCAGCACAGAATTATGTATTCTGTTTAAAGTGAGTATTTACCGGACCGTTAGTCATGAAGCTTTTCTATAGCCTTCCATTGAGAAGAATTAGAGGCTGAATAATTAGTTTTATAAAAAGTTCCAGTTGATTTTGTTTTCTTCATTAGTGCTCGATATCAAGCAAATGCAATGAAACTGCTGAGATATTTTGTCAGAACCTGATCACTATTCTCAAAGTTATCAGAGCTATAAAAATTATTTTTTTTTCTTTAGCAGAGAGAACAGGTGACACTGATGCAAGAATAATATTGGAAGAATAGTTAAACATATTTTAAACGAATATGCTGGACAGAAAAGATCCGGCTTAACTATAACAGAGGTTCCGTTACAGACTGTAAGACCCTGATGTTGTAACTGGGAGTGTTCAGTCAGGCTGCTGTA